TGTCATGGCAATTCCTGAGGTCCTTCCTGGAACTGGGTACAGCAGGTGGTCTGAGATGGTGGGCCCGTCCCTAAGATGGAGCCTGTAAAGTCAAGTCTAGACCTTCACAGTTGTTATTTTACTATTACTATCATTTTGAGACAGGGTCTGGCGATGCAGTCCTGGCTGACCTGGAACTTATGATGCAGATCAGGCTACCTTAAAGCTTGGGGTGATCCTCCTGCCTCAGGTTCCTGAGTGCTAGAGTCACAGTTACGTGCCATCCCCCTGGCTCCAAAGTGTATTTAATCTGCACTTCTCTTCTTTATGAGTAAATTTGTTTCTTCTCATATTTTTAAGAATTCTTCTGTTTCTATGTGTTTTGTGTTTGTATTCTTTTCCCAGTCACCCAGGGATAGTTAATTTTGTTCTGGTCAAATTTTTTTAATGTTTTTTTTTATAATTTTATTCTTATTCAAAGGGAATTGAGCTTTTTGTCTGTGCTATGAGTAGTAAGTATTCACTTAGACCAGTTTATCAGTTTTTAGTTAGAAGTTCTGGATATTATGCTATTCTTAGAAAATCCTTGTAACTCCATGACAACAAAACCACCTCATTTTATATAAAGTGTATGTACATAAAATGAAAAAAAATCTCTCTTTTTTTTTTCTTCCAGAACTTCTATGGCTTTGCTTTCTACATGACAAATATTTAATATTCCTGGAATTTATTTTTATTTATTTTGCAAGACAGCTATCAACCTATTTCCCCACCTGCCTATCGAGCAGCGCCGACACCCTTTATGGAGAAAATGGCTTCTCCTCCCACGGATTTGAAATGCCGCCCTTGTATTGCATCTGTTTCGGAACTTCCTGTGACAGATGAGCTTTAGTTCTGTCTTGACCTTGTCCTTGAAGGAGTTCACTGTTGCTGTCATTCGGTTTTTAAATGGGAGAGACTCGAGCATGCGTAGATGCAGAGGGAGAGCAGCAACTGGTGAAGGACAGACGAGGAGGTGATGGTGTAGATGAATTTCTAAACAGTCTTATTAAATAAGAAACACAGAGCCAAATACAGGGGTGAAAGCCATAGAGACCAGAGCAATAGCCGCCAACTAACCTTAGCTTCCCAAGAGCTCCTCTTCCTGTCTAACCTGCGCTTTTATTGCCTTCCTGTTCTGCCTTCTCATTGGCTCTAAGCCCAGCCACATCTCTTCCTCATCACTGCCTGTCTATACAGACCTCCAGGTCTCTATGGTTGGTACTGGAATTAAAGATGTGTGTCACCATGCTTGGCGGTGTCCTTGAACACACAGGGACTCTGCCTGCCATGTGATTGGATTAAGGGCGCGTGCTACCATCGCCTGACTTCTGTTTATGGCTGACTATGACCTCTGATCTTCAGGCAAACTTTATTTATTAACATACAAATGTAATATCACATTTCAGTACAAATAAAATATCACCACAAGGTGGGGTCAGCCATTAGTGACAGGTCCAAAGAGCATCGGCTTGTCTGTCTGAGCAAGGAAATGCGTGATCAGAACTTTTCAATTTTTTCCCCCTGTCTAACGTGATGAACTTGTGTGCCGACAAAGCACCCCGACAGAAACAAGCTAAAGAAGCGGAGACTGATTTGACTCGTGGCTTCAGGCCTCAGTCGTTGGTCAGTCGCCCCATGCTCTTGGCCTGAGCCTCATGGTGAAAGCACATGACCAAGGCACTTCTCACCTCGTGAAGGACAGGAAGCACAGAGGGAGGAATACAGGAAGAAGTTAGGGTATGACTTAGCACCTCTCTCCTAAAAATACCTCTCCAGTGACCTACTTCCTAGTAGAAACTAGGCCCTATTTTCTATCTCATACCATCAGCCACTAATGCAGTGGTTCTCAACCCCTTTGGGGGTAGAATGACCCTTTCACAGGGGTCGAATATCAGATATCATGTCACCAAAAAGAAAAAAAAAGTGGAGGTGCCTGGTTGGGAAGAGGAAATAGGTCAACAGGAAGGAGCTGTGGCGGGGGCGAGAGGGGGAAGGGGTGAGGATCAAATTGTATTATATACATGGATGAAACTGTCATAATGAAATTCATCACTGTATACGATTAATATATGGTAATTAAAACAATTAAAAAGATTAGCTCTCCTAGGTAGTGTCTCTCCTAGTCTGTTGTCCCCTCTAGGCCTCCTCTTCCCTGCCTAGCCTGGAATTTACACTGCACATGCCCTCACAGGCATTTTTCTTCTGCCACCCCCATGTGGGTCAGAACCCCAGCAGTTGGACTTACAGGTAAGGTGGTCATGAGCTGTCTAATTTCAGTGCTGGGAACCAACCGCAAGTCCTCTGTAAAAGCAGCAAGTGCTTTTTTTTTTTTTAATGGTTTTTCGAGACTCGAGACAGGGTTTCTCTATGTAGCTTTGGAGCCTATGCTGGAACTCACTTGGTAGCCCAGGCTGGCCTCGAACTCACAGAGATCTGCCTGCCTCTGCCTCCCGAGTGCTGGGATTAAAGGCATACGCCACTATGACCGGCGTGCAGCAAGTGCTCTTAACTGCTGAGCCGTCTCTCCAGCCCCAACCTTATGTTTTTAAGACAGGGTCTCTCAGAGCCTAGAGCTCACCATATGCTGGCTGGCTACCCAGAAAGCCTCATAGCAGTGGGTCTCAACCTTCCTAATGCTGTGACCATTTAATACAGTTCCTCATGTTGTGATGACCCCCAACCACAAAATTATTTTGTTTCGTACCTGTAATTTTTTTACTGTTACGAATCATAAGGTAAATATCTGATATGCAGGATATCTGATATGTGACCCCCAAAGGGATCGTGACCCACAGGTGGAGAACCGCTGCTCTAGGATCTGCCAGTCTCCATCTTACTCCCGGGGCTGGGTTACAGATGTGTATCCCTGCCCTTCAAACTCAGGTTTGAATGCTTAACTAACAGGCACTTTACTCAAAGAGCCGGCTTGCCGGGCCTCCTTTTCCTAGTCCGGGCTGGCTCCTCTGCATCATTGCTGACTCCAGCTTGTTCGCCATCACTCAGCTCTGCAGGCTGTCCCCCTGCACTGGACCTTCCTTTCCAGCTGGTCTCTTTCACTCCTCGGTGTGCCTACACCCCCAACAGCACCCACTGGCATCCACTGTGGCCCTTTCTTCTCAGCTCGTGCCCAGGCAACCCTTGTGATCGCAGTCAGTACACGTACATGCCTCTGACACGTGCTCACCACACAGCATTCTGGCTGTTTCTGCACATTGTCTGTCCCACTGGACTGTGGAGTTGAAGGTCATATCTTATTTTTGTATTCTCAGATCAGTGTTTTGCACATTGTGTAGGCTCAATAAATACATGTCAACAAGAACTGATTTAGTTTTCTTTCCTAGACATTTGTCCAGAGCAGAAAACAGTTTTCTAGGTGGAGGCTTCAACTGTCCGACTCTAGGTGTGTTTTTCCTCTTCTGCGCAATATTCTGCCAGGTTTTTGGCTGTAGCTAATTACTGAGTTGGTTGAAATGGCCTCAGAACCTTCTCCTGTGTTCTAACAGAGAACTCAGAGCTCATTCTAGAACGAGCATAATTTGTATCATTAACACTTAGTTTACTGCGGTTACTGCCCACATTGAAGCTTGGTAGCTTCTAGGAACATAAGCAAAGCCCACTTTGGAACAGCTTCCTGTGCAAGAAAAATCCCGTCTCTTATTGTCTCTGGAATCATACATTTACAAATGATCTAATTGCTCTGTATGAGAGGCTGGAAGCACCATGGCAACACATTTAATTGCTAAGGGTATAATATACAACTGTTAATTAGAAATGACCTCTCCGCAAATGTACTAAAAAACTCCATGTTGGGTCTCCTGCCAATGGTAGTTTTCTCTTTCTCCTCCTCCAAATTTTGCTTGCCATGTATTTATGCCATTGTTTTGGTAACTATGATCTCCACTTCCTCTGTGTGATCCCGTGGTTCAGAGTTAAGAAATGCACACGGCGCTGAGAGAACCCAAGGACACCCTGTCCAGACACCCTGACCCATGACGGCAGCTAGATGAGGCCGGCTTGAAGGAGTGAGGTCCAATCTATTTTCCTACTGTGACTACCCTCTATCCAGGGCCACCTTCGCCATTGCCCTTCTATCCGGGAGATGTGACTAACTGCCAGTCAGAGGGGCTTTTTGGCTGTTGGTTGGGCTGGAGTTGGAAAATCTTATTTTTTTCATTCTTATTTGTAAAGTCTAATATATCATTTTGACTTGTATGTGATTTAAAAACCACAGCAGACTGTAGTGAATGCACTGCAAAGGCCTCATTTCTCATCTACCTTGTTTGTGGTAAATGGACTTCTTGATGTTAGAGGTTTGACACGGCAGTGAATGAGGAGGGGACGGCAGGCTTTGTAGAAACGGTCCACCTCATTTGTGAGCACCGACCCCAGCCACATCAGCTAAAACATGCCAGAATGTGACCGCTTCTCCTTGGCTGTTCTACACAATGATTCTGAGACCTGGGTGAGCCGTTACCCACTGAAAAGGGGATTCCCGATGGCATCAGACACTGCAAATCCGGGGGTGAACTCGGGGTTGATGATACAACACAAGACACACTGGAATTCTCATTAGAGCCCTGGTGGGAATCAAAGGCAAGATGGAAGCCACAGAAACAGCACGTTTTTGCCTGTGCAGCTAATTATCCTGTATTCAGTGAGACTTCCATTCCCATCTCAGCTGAACTTGAACTCACGGTGCAGTCCAAGCAGGCCTTGAATTTGTGGTTCTCCTGCCTCAGTCATCTTCTGAAGAGTAGGATTACAGGTGTGTGCCACCAGGGTCTTCACCCCTTCCCCTCCCTCATCCCCAGCCCTGGAGTCCCCCCCCCCCCCCCCCTCCCCCTCATAATCCACAATGACTGACTGACCAGATCTTGCTGCCAGTACTGCCTGCTTCAGGAAAGCTAAGAATATTAGAACAACAAGGAAAAAAACCAAAACCAATCAAACAAAAAACACCCCAAAAGGGAGACTGCAACTTCTCAGATATAGAGAACATTTTATTCATATAATGTATAAAATTAGACTTCAGAATTCTCCTTTTCTAAAAACAGACTTTTAATTGTAATCCTCCAAATGAAAAGGCAACAGTGTTTTAACCTTGTACACACCATGGTCACAGGTAAACAGTATTTCGGTGGTGGTGAGTGCAGGGGATTGAGCCCAGGACCTCACACTCACCCACAGCCCCAGGCTCTGTTAAACAGGTTTTTTCTTAAGCTGTGACAAACCAAACAAATAGAAAGCTCTCCTACAGCGGCACATGGCTCTGGCTCGGCTCTGGCTCTGTATCTGCGGTCTGGTGCCTCAGGATGGCATGAGAAGTAAGTAAACGAACTCCGAGACAGGAGACTGGACACTGTTGATGCTTCATGAGTCTGTCTTCAGGAGCCACTTCCCTCAATGTTAATTCCTCCTCTTAGTCTAATTCACTGGAGAGGCTGTTCTAGAAATACCTGTAATGCCACGGAACAGCGCAAGTGGATGAAGGCTTAAGAGCTGGGCCCCGCCATCATGCATTTCAGAAGTGTCAACATTCCTAGCCTGCACAAAGGACCCAAAAGTAACATCAAATAATTTATGTAACTCTGAGACACATCTCACACCTAACAAAGCATAATTAAGTACTGAAGTGATGCGTTGTTACATCTGAATATGAAAAACTGTATGTAAACTACATCCCTCAGCCCCCAAGCAGGGCTCAGTTTTTTGTGTTGAAGCTAATCTGAAAGTCTCCCTCAGTCTCTTTCCCCCACTACCCAAACCAAGGACTCCACCATCTGCTCATGAGCAGTGTGGCTACTGTCTGAGGCTTGTAATCTACCCCAGCTGAGCAGCCAGAGGGCTGGACCTGGAAGGCCACTGTCAGTGGTGAGACATCCGTGTCCTCTTCTTGCTCTGGTGCTACTGGTTTCTTCATTCTTGTATTGCAGCCCTATACAACTTGGCCGAAACATGTAGGATGCTTGTAGTAGAAAATGCCAGCGGCCAGGAGAGTGGGTCCAAACAGGCCTCCTGCCGTTTGGAGGAGAGGGGATGGCACACAGAACATGTTTCTGTAATGTACACACAGCTACATACTTAATTGTCAACATTAAATTGAGGTTGTGTCTCCATGTGGCTAATCCTCCCTGGAAATGGCTTATACTTTGTCACAATTATCATCTGGTGACAGAAAAGAGCCCTGGCTCCAGGGTACCCGTGAGGCAGCACATGTGGTGGCCTGTCCTGTCTGCTGAGGTCACAGGAAATGTAAGCACATTATAAATGTTCCTATTCAATATCATTTCCACTGAAAAAGCAAGGCCAGTGAGTGTTCAGATAGGATTATTTTTACTTTTAAGATTTATTTTTATTAAAAGTATGTGTCTGTGTGTGGACTGTGTACATGAGTACAGGTGACGATGGAGGTCCATAGAGGGGGTCAGATTCCTTGGAGCTGGAGTTACGGGGACTGTGGACCACCAGCCGAGGTGCTGGGAACTGAACTCAGGTAATCTGAAAGAGCAGGGCATGCTCTTAACTTTGGAGCCATCTCTTTAGACCAGAATCTCCTTTTAAAAGATTTATTTATTTTTAGTCTTTTAACTTTAAAAAGTACCAAATTTCACAAAACGTTATGTTTTCTCATAGCTAAAAAACATTCTCCCCCCTCTCATTGGGGGAAAAACCCCTACAAAATAAAATGGACAGAATAAAAACTTGCTTTTCTTGGGTTTTTGAGACAGAGTCTCTCCATAGCCCTGGCTATCCTGGAACTCACTCTGTAGACCAGGCTGGCCTTGAGCTCACAGAGCTCTGCCTGCCTCTGCCTCCTGAGTCCTGGGATTCAAGGTGTGTGCCACCATGCCTAGCCAAAACTAATACTCTTGTATAACGTTTTATGTGCAGAAACTATCCCTCACTTTAGTCAAAGGGTAGGTCTGTCCAATTCTATGTAGACAATAAGCCTCTTCAATTCACTCAGAATAACTCAGGTTTTTAAAAGCAACAGTCCTTGGATAGGTTGTTTACACCAGTATAAAAAAGTGACACTAATAAGAAATACTTTATATTGTAATCTGAACAGTGTGCCCAGTTTTATAAAGTCCACATGAATCAGGAATCAGAATGTTTCTCATTAAAACTCTGGCTTCATTAGAACTAGAATACAGAGTTAGCAGAACAAGAAAACCTGCAAGAAACACACAGAATTCAAACTTGGGTTTCATCTCCCTATTTAGGAGGTTCTGTTTAACAGCTTAAGAAATACTGATTAAAGCATTAAAACACATATTACTCCCACAAGTGTGGTTATGAGTACAGATTTCTCATTTTCAGTGATTATTTGGTTAATTAAAAAAGCTATCCAGGATTAATATTCCAGCAAACCAGCTACAAAGTGTTATATACATATATGAATCAGACTATCACCTGTGACATTCCAAGATGCAAACAGCTTTGGCAGACCATGAAGATAGGAGTCCTAGACTCCATGGATGACAACAGATGTGTATAATGTCCTTCAGATTGCCTCCCCAACAAATATTTACTTAAGTTTAAAAAAAAAAATCACAAGACTATTTCCTTAATATGAGATAATCCAAACAGCCTTCTTTACCTTAAAACCAACAAAAACAACAACTTCTCAGACAGCAAATCAAAACTCGCAGGCCTCAACACATGCCAAGGCAGGAAGAATGAACCTCCACGCTCTATTCCCAAGCAGGTGTGCATTTACTAGGTAAAGTTTGGAGGATAAGCCAAGCCATTTAAAATTCACGGGTCTGCAAGGGCCTGAGACCCTGACTCTGGGGCCGGTGAAATCTATTTGAGGAAGAAGGTCCGGGCCGTGTTGAGAGTCAGTGTACAGTCCCCCCCAGAACTAAGAAGAAACTTGTAAAACCACAAAACACTGGGGCCTGGAGTGTTGTGGGGATGGACTATTAAAATAATTATATGAAGAAAAGCCAAGAACCCCCAAAATATTCTATTCTATATAAGAAACATTGATTGTCTGCTCCCATATTACTTTAAAGGACAAACATTTGTATGTTTTAAACGATCATTCTCTAACAAATAAAGGTGGACAGACAGACATCACATAGGGGACTCCCTCTGAGGTAATAATTCAGTAAGCTGGAAAACATTTTAAAGTTCACATTGTCCTTTAAAATCCCACCTGAGCCGGGCGGTGCTGGCGCACGCCTTTAATCCCAGCACTCGGGAGGCAGAGGCAGGCGGATCTCTGTGAGTTCGAGGCCAGCCTGGGCTACAGAGTGAATTCCAGGAAAGGCGCAAAGCTACACAGAGAAACCCTGTCTCGAAAAACCAAAAAAAAAGAAAAAAAAATCCCACCTGAATATTGATTGAGTCCATTTCATACCGCTACAGATCATGAGGAACTCAGGAAGCATCCTCGCTCTCACAGTTCCTTAACTGACATCACAACCTTCATCAGACAGGACCACAGATAAACACTGCACCCGTTGTAAAAACTTAGAGAGGCCTTCTGAAGCAATGACTATTTTCTAATTGTGATCTTGTTCAATGAACAGGGCCTGCTGGCATTCACCTTTAATCCCAGTGCTTGGGAGGCAGAGGCAGGTGGATCTCTGGGAGTTTGAGGCTAGCCTGCTGGTATACATAGTGAGCTCCAGGACAGGGAAGATTACACAGTGAGACCTGTCTCGAAAAACAAACAAGCAAATGAACAAAAACACACACACAAAGATACCAACTCTCTTCTCTCTAGTGGAGCACACGACCCATCAAGTTGCATGTCACACTCTGGGAAGCACCATTTCTCTTCACTGGAACTCAAGCTTTTCTAATAGCCATGTCCTGTTAGACTACTGTGAAGACAGAGCTGGTTTTCCAGCTAAGCACATTTACCCCTAACTTTTCAACAGTCACAATTTCTAAAAGTGTAGACTCTGAATTTACTTTATTACAAAAGGAGAAGCACTGTGCACATCATTACTATAGACAAAGGGGTACTTGGAGGGGGTCAGACTGACCAGTACGAGTGTGCCTCACTGAAGTACACTCACTTATAAAAACATGTTGCCTTTGCCATGTGAAAACCGGGTATTTAGTTCTCTGGATTTCTTTATTAGGGCTTTCTTCTGAGTCTCATCAAACCTATTAACCTTGAGATCTTTATCACGATCAAATGGCGTTCTCTCTTGGTGCTTGTTTTTATCTTCAGCAGCCTTACTCTTTAACTTTTTATGGTGAATGTCCATGAGGGATTCTGATCTTTTTGATTCCTAGGGAAAGCAGGAGAACAGAAATAAAGACCTTAGCTCACGTATGTCATAGACAGTCTACAACCATGAAGCATACTGGACTAGTGCATGTGAATGAGAGATGTTTGCAAACCCTGATGGGGGTTTCTGGATCCAAGACAGCATCCATGGAGAAAACACACAGCTGTGGGAAATACGATCCAGAAGGAGCGAAGACATCTATTAGCTATATGCAGTGAACGAGTAGGAAAGTGAGGTAGCACAGTCGTTATGGTTACTTAAGTCCTAATGGGAATATAAACCAAGAACAGGAGTGTGAAAGAACAAACAATTTAATTCCCACTTCACAGATGACCTGGTCCCTGAAGCCATTCAGGTAGAAAGAGGTGAAGGCACTGGCAGAAGCCAAAACAGAAGTGAACTAAAGAGCACAGAAGCAACCTGATTCTAGGCCTGTGCAGATGGTGCACGGCCAGAGCCAAGGGGTGTTTGCTTCGCCCACTGTTCGGCTTGTCTCTTTTCTCCAACCTCCCTCCCTCCCCTTCTCCTCTTAGCTTAGGCTGATGCTCACATTTTCAGGTCTATCCAGACACCATTTTCAGACAAGGTTGTACAAAGGCAATTGGTTTAATAAAATAGGGATTTGCTGTGGACCTCTGAGTAGACTAGCCTGGAATGGAGCGACCAGGCAGGGATGGAAGATGATCACAGTGCAGATCAGCAGCCTGATCAAAGCTGGGTGGATGTGCACATCCCCAGTGCTGCACAGAACAGTGTCCAAGACCAGGTAAAGCAGGAGCCCTTTTAAGGCTATTCACAACGATTGTCATTTAGTCTTTTTACAAAGATTAAAAGAATACATGTGCATGTGTGTGATCCTGAATGGGTTTCTGTGTACTACATGTGTGCAAGAGTCCACAGGGGCCAGAAGAGGGCATTGGAGATCCTGGAACAGGAGTTACAAATAGTGGTTTCTATTGTACATATTTCCTGTAAAAGTGTAGTGCCAAATATTCAGCATGTGAACGGGGAAATGGCAGAAAGGATGTATTTTGTTTATAACTCTAACTCTTTTTTTTTTTTGGTTTTTCGAGACAGGGTTTCTCTGTGTAGCTTTGCGCCTTTCCTGGAACTCACTTGGTAGCCCAGGCTGGCCTTGAACTCACAGAGATCCGCCTGGCTCTGCCTCCCGAGTGCTGGGATTAAAGGCGTGCGCCACCACCGCCCGTTTGTTTATTTATTTATTTATTTATTTATTTGGACACAGGGTTTCTCTGTGTAGTTTTGGTGCCTGTCCTGGATCTTGCTCTGTAGACCAGGCTGGCCTCGAACTCACAGAGATCCACCTGGGTCTGCCTCCCGAGTGCTGGGATTAAAGGCGTGCACCATTGCTGCCTGGCTGTTTTTTTTTCCCCCTTTTACTGACTATGTCATACCCAAGAAGTCACTTTCAAATGCAAATCTGTTTTCATACCTAAGAGATCACTTTTATTTGTGTATGTGTGTGTGTGTGTGTCTGTGTGTGTTTGTATGCACAGGAAACACTCATGTCCACTGGACTATATCCCTGGCCCTGTTTATTCTTGTTTTTTTTCTTCCAGACAGGGTTTCTCCTTGTAGCCCTGGGTGTCCTGGAACTTGCTCTGTAGAGCAGGGAGGCTTGGAAAGAACTCTAACTCTTAAAGGCCCTGCCTATGTCAAAGAATACACACGAAAGCACAGAAGTGAGTAGAGCTCCAAGTAAGGCAATGCTAGGTGACGCTGAGGGTGGCTGGGTGCAGTGGTGTGAGCCTGCAATCCCAGCAGTGCTGGGAGGATCCAGAGTTTGAGGTCAGCCTGAACTATACATGAGTTCTACGTCAGCCTGAGACCCATGCAGTGGTGAGCCTCTGTCTTGAAAAAAAACAAAACAAAAAAAAACCCCCCAAAAAAACCCCAAACCACAACTGTTTGGGGGCTAGAGTGTAGCTCAGTGGTAGAGTGTGTATGTATAGCATATACAAAGACCTAGGTTCAATTCCCAGCACCAAAACAAAAACCATGCTTGCATTTTCTAACAATTTATGAAATTGAGAGCAACTGACCTTGAATACTACGTCTTTCACATTATTTATTTTGTGTGTGAGGAGCTCAGAGGACAACTAGTGGGAGTTGGTTCTCTTCTGTCCACCCCATGGATCCCAGGGATCAGACTCAGGTCATCAGGCGTGGTGGCGGGCGCCATTACCCACTGAGTTATCTCACAGGCCCTAGGATGGCCCTTTCACAGCTTTTGAAAACTCCTTCGTTTCTGGTTGGCTGGTTTGTCTTTTCATGGCATTATTTTAAAGAGTATTCAATTTATCAAAAGCAGAGCTTACACAGTAGCTTCATCTTAAGATTCTGGAGCTGGCTTTTGGGAACCTGTTCCCCATGCTGGAATCTCGCCTAGCTTGATACAGGGGGAGGAACTTGGTTCTGCCTCAACTTGATGTGCCATGCTTTGTTCATGCCCATGGGAGGCCTGCCTCTTTCTGATTGGAGATGGAGGAGGAGTGGATGGGGCGGGGGTGGGGTGGGGGGTGGGGGGGTTGTAGTTGGGAGGTAGGTAGAGGGAACGGGATGAGAGGAGGGAGGGGACACTGTGGTTGGTATGTAAAATAAATAAAAAATAAAAAAAGACTATTATCACTACTTTGAACAGTAAATCTCATAGTAATCAGAATTTCACACAATTTCATTTCTTGGGTATATTTAAAAGTAAATGGCAGACATCATTACAAGCTCCCTAAACATGTCAGCACACTTTCATTAGCCAGACTCAATATTTATTTTCCTAAAAATGCAATGGAATGCACAGATATTAGGTGTAAATTCACTGATGTTTTTGAATTCAAATCCCCATCAGGATCTTGGCCATTTCCATCACTCTAGGAAGCTCTGAGTGTTACTCCCTAGTAAACGCTAGTAAATGCTCCTATTCCAACAGCCACCCCTGGACAGAACACTCACTCTGTACATCCAGCTCCACCCAATGATGATGCTTCTTGCTGTGCCAGATTCTGTAATGACTGACTCACCCCACTGCTGCACTCACTTATAATTTGTTACATTTTGTTGCTGAGTATTTCGTTTTATGTCCCTGGGTTTTCCTTCTCTCATTGATGGAAACCTATGCTGTTATAGTGATAGCTATTATGAGTTACCTTCTGCTGATATGTTTGCATCTTCTTGAGGCTACTGCAAACAATGTTCTACTTTGTGGGGGAGACATGCTTCCAGGGTCACACTGTAGATGTCTGGTTTTATAAGAAATATTGGCTTGGAAACATCTAGCTAATGAATTTTAAGCCATTCTTCCTAAGACAACCCATTCTGGCTACATACTTGTGTCCCACATGTTTCAACAAATTATGTTTATTCTTTAGGTCTACATATCCCAACTTATATTTTCATTTCCTCTTTGGATTTTTATGTTTCCCAGTTATGCATGTCATTTAGATTAGTCTGAATGCAGAGAGCATGTCTAAATGGCTACAGTTCTTCCAGCTCTACTGGGACTTGACTCCTGAACCTTATGTGAACGTTTCAAATGGGTCAAGCCTGGGTAGTTTCCAAAAAACGTTTCACGTGTGCTTTACTAACTATGGTTCCAGTCAACACATGGCCAAGAAATCAGTTCTTACACAATTTTCATAAACTGAAACATCTGGAACAAAGGTAATTTTCCTATACACCCAAGGCCTTTTGGGGGCCAATGGGTTCAGGAATTAACATTTGTTCTTTGAGATAGACCACTCTCTAGTTTTTGAGAGTTAAGAGAGATTATAACAAAAAATGAAAAAATATTAAATAAATAGTGACCTTAGTTTATAAATTTAGATTGAATTGTGTTTTAAAGTTTTTTCTCCTACAAATCTTCCCACCAGACATTCCAAATTTGTTTATAATTTTGAAAGTTATATACTAAGGATCTCTATGAGTGAACAGGCTCTTGCTTTCTGATCAAAGTGCCCCTTAGTAATTAAACTTTGAGTTTATTTTTGAGACAAGGTCTTATTACAGTAGCCTTGGCTGGCCTGGAACTGGCTCTGTAGACCAGGCTGACCTCGAACTCACAGAGATCCACCTGCCTCTGCCTCCCAAGCACTGAGATTAAAGGCGTGCGCCACCACCACCTGGTAGGAATTAAACTTCTGATTAAGACTTAGTAAGTAAGAATTCAAAGTTAAAAACAACTTATCAAATACGCAGAAGGATCTTATACAAATGTTCACAGACCACGGAGTCAAGTATTGTTCAGGACTGGGGCATAGAAGTGTTTTAAGTAGAAGGAGGTTGTAAAAAGAGAGAAACGGACCACCTTGATGGCTACCAGGGAGAGCTGCGGGTCTGGTTCAAGCTCATCCTGGTGGTTGACAGTGGCGCTGGGAAGAAGACACTTTTGATGGACCACTTGATGAGAGGTCAAGAAGCATGCAGACACCTGGCCGTGGAGCTGCAGCCGCCTGTGTTCTAGACCAACAGAGGACCCAGCGAGTTCAAGGTGTAGGACACAGCGGCCGGAAGAAGTCTGGGGGCCTGTGCGACGGCTCCTACAAAGCCAGCGTGCCATTAGAATGTTTCATGTAACGTCAGGAGTTACAAGAATGTACCTAACTGGCACAGTAGTCTGGTGTGTGTGTGTGTGTGTGTGTGTGTGTGTGTGTGTGTGTGTGTGTGTGTGTGTGTGTGTGTGTGTCTGGTATGTGTGTGTGTGTGTGTGTGTGAGAAAACATCCCCATTGCATTGTGTGACAACAAAGTGGGTATTAACACAGGAACGTGGAGGCAAAATCTATTGTGTCCCACTGCAGTAAGAATCTTCAGCGCTATGACATTTCTGCCAAAAGTAATTCCAACTTTGGAAAGGCTTTCCTCAGCTTGTCAGAAAGCTCACTGGAGACCCTAACTGGGAGTTTGCTGCTACGCCTGCTCTTGCACCACCTGAGGCGGTCACGGACCCAGCTCTGGCAGCACAGCACAACTTAGCATGATCTAGAGGTTGCTCAAACAACTGCCCTCCCTGGTAAGGATTCGGACCTGTGAGAGCGTGAAGCTGGAGCCCTGCATCATAGGACTAGTGAGGCAACCGTCTGTGATGTCAGTGGTACAGTGTGTGCGCCGCCTTAGTTAGCGAAGCAGATCGTGTACTTCACTGGGATGCTGAGGGAGGCGAAGGGGCTTGGGAGTGAATTTCGCAGTTAAAACATACCATCCCTGCTTTGGACTTGCATGTCTAGCTGTTTGGAACTCAGTTGTTTCCTTCCTGAATTTCAAAGATAAGAATGCTATAGCACATCACAATATTCAGTGATGTTTGTTACTGTCATCCCTCTTCTTTTTGTTTAGAATCAGAATAAAGATGATTTCAAATATGAGAGAGAGAGAGAGAGAGAAACAATAGAACTATGCTAGGTGTTGGGAGATGCACTGCATGCCTTGAATCCCAGCACTTGAGAGGCAGAGGCAGGTGAATTGCTGTGAGTTCAAGGCCAGCCTGGTCTACAGAACAAGTTCTAGGACAGGGAGGGCAACACAGAGAAACCCTGCCTTGAAAAACCAAAACCCAAACCAAACGGAACAAAAACTAAAAGACAGAAAAATGAGACCAGCAAAGTGAAAGTCAGAGGGCAGCCTGGCTATGCAGTGAAATCCCAGCACAAAACAAAACCAAGCGGAAGAGAGAGAAGGAGTGAGGAGAGGAGATTATTGATGTCCTTATGTATTTTATTTTCTTACTTACGTTGTATGAGGACACTTGTTCAGCCAACCTCTTATCCCTTCCTGACAATATATTGTCTTCATCTTTCTTACTGAATGACTTCCTTGCTTCTTGCATTTCCTGAAGAATGAACATAATAACATCATTTAAAATAGAATTAAAAACAGATACTATTACTTTTACTTAGATTAAATGACAAGAAACTGAACTAAAGCCAGGCTGGTTGAATTCCTCCCAGTCAGAAATAGCTGCATACTTGAGAAGGGATCAGTTAGTGCAGGATGAGTCTGTGATTTTCCTGAGAAGAGGACAATGGGATCCAAACCAAACCCTCCCAGTAACCCAACTGGAAGAAACTCAGGATGAGTTTGGACTAATAATGACAAAATGTAGGAAAGTAACACACAAGGAATCTTCCACTGTCTGACTTCAAAAACAGTAAAAAGAAAAACTAAAAAGGGTGTATACATTGACAAAAAAAAAAAAAAAAAAGGCAAGGAACGAAGGAAGAAAAAGAAAAGGACACTGTCAGCATGATGCCATGAGTGTCTATGTGGAAAAATCCAAGAAACTGGAACTAACAGAAGCAAGAACAAAAGAACAGCAAAGGTGTGTGACACAAAGTCAAAGAGGGTGCACCATAACAGAACCAAAATAAAGCCAACACTCCATCACACACACACACACACACACACACACACACACACACACACACACACACACCCTTAGATTACTCTGCAGTACTTCTTGGTGGCTGTGAGAACAGACAGCACTTGGTATACTTAACAGAGCCTGATGATGTGGAATATTATTTTAACTAGGCAAAGGTGTGTTACATTTGTTCCTGCTGCCTTTGTTGAATTATGTAAAGATGTGTTGCTATTTCACCTTGCCTGCCTAAGGCACCTGATTGGTCTAATAAAAAGCTGAATGACCAATAGTGAGGAAAAGGACAGGCAGGGCTGTAGGGCAGAGAGAGTAAATAGGAGGAATCTAGAGGAGAAGAAGAGAATGAGGGAGAAAGAGAGGGACATTCCCGGGGCCAGCAGACAGCTGTCGGCCAGACACGAAAAGCAGTAACGGAAAGAAAGGTAAAAACACAGATGGAAAGAAAGGTAAAACTGCAGAAGGAAAGAAAGGTAAAAATACAGAAGGAAAGAAAGGTAAAAAGCCCCAAGGCAAAACATAGATGAAGAGAAACAGGCTAAGTTATAAGACCTAGCAAGAAATGAGCCTAAGCTAAGGATGAGCATTCACAACTAATAAGAAGCTCCATGTCATGATTAGGGAGCTGGCTGGTGGCCCAAAAGAAAAGGCCTGGTACAACCTGAAATACTTGCAAAGACAGAGTGAGAAACAGCAACCAGTGACAGTCAAGGTCAACGGCTAATAAAGCCTAAGTCAGAGAGGGGCAAAGGGAGGCTTGACTATCCCTGGCTGGGTGGGCAGCCAGCCACATAAACAGCACATCTCTCTGGTTGGACCAGGAAACATGCATAGAGCTTATCCATTACCTTCATGATTGCCCAGAGAACTAACCAACCTCATAGCAATTATTCAGCCCCTGTATAGTCTTTGCCATAGACCTATAAAAACCTGAGACAAGGAAGTTCTTGGAAACCCCTATCACTCTCAAAAGTTCCAATTTTCTTTCATTTCATCCTTTTCCTTCATTTCTCACATCTCTGTAATTCTCCTGAATAAAGCTTGCTTCCACTTTGCATAATGCCATCAGTACTGGTGTTTTCAACCCTCACTAGTGTGAGCCAATGAACTCAGAGCCACCAACCCAAGTCCTTGGGTCATGTACAACTGTCCTATTGTCCTCAAAACCCTGCATCATCAGTACCTTTAAATAATTTCATCGTGTGTCTTTGCAAGTTCAAGCCAAACCAGACAGAATACACGAACAAAAACCAAGAAGGAAAGGAAAATCCCGCTACCTTAGCTTTCCTCTCGCGGTCAGCTGGGGTGTCCGTCCAGATGGAGCGGTCTCCGGATTTGTCATCCGCTCTTCTCTTAAAGCTTCTCGGCCCAAGACCAAAGTCTTTCATTTCTGGAGGAAGCTCAGTCATCCACGACTCTCTTGTAATTGGTTTAGATGAATCCTGGATGAGAAATAAAGTTGAAAACAAAGTAGTGTCTGCACATGGTGGCCCTCGTCTTTAGTTCCAGCTCTGGGGAGACAGAGGCAAGCAGGTTTCTAGGTATGTGTTCGAGGCTAGTGCTGGCTACATAGGGCATTCTAGGCTAGCCAGGGCTACAAAGTGAGACTGTATCAAAACAAAAGACAAAAACTCCACACATACACACAAAATCATATACATATGTACACAATCTATGCTACTTTCTAGGGGTAGAGAGTTGACTCTGATGTTAAGAGCACTTGCTGCTTCTGTAGAGGATGCAGGTTCAGTTCTTAGCACCCACATGATAGCTCACCACCATTTGTAACTCCAGTTCCAGGAGATCTGACTCCCTTTTCTAAGACACCAGGCATGCATGTAGTACATATGCATACACACAGGCAAAACACTCATACACATAAAATACACTGGTAAAAACAACTTTGAAAACTTACGTCATCTCCTTTGGTTAATTTTTCCTTCATTCGCTGGGCCCTTCTTTCAAACTCTGTTGTTACGCTGTAGGTAACCGGTCCTTTTGCAGGCATTGGTCCAACAATATCCTCATCGTCACTGCTCTCTGCTTCCTTTTAAAACAAGACAGTATCTTTAATCTAAGAAGAGACCAGTAGGTTACAGACAATGATCTTAAACCACTTGGAATTTAGCTGAAATGGATTATGCATAAACAATAAAACAAACAAAATTTTGTTGCTAGCCCATCACCGAACAGTGAGCTTTCCCTTGGGTTCCTTGAAGATGACAGCTCCAGACCATGTGGACTGTCTCATTTCTCTTCCCACGCCATTGGAAAACAAAACAAAAAACAAAATAGTGCCGATAACTGGATACCTCTTGTCCCCCCCCCTCCCTTTTTTTTAGATTTAACTTTCTTTGACTGAGCTATCCACTTCTTTGACCTTGTCTTCAACACCTGAGATTTTCTTTCCCATGTCTTGTATTCTGTTGGTGAGGCTTACCTCTGAGGCTTTTGCTTGACACCCTAAATTTTTCCAGTTTTATTTCAGTTTGGGTTTTCTTTAGAGATTCTATTTCTGTGTTAAATTCTATTTCATGACTTGAATTGTTTTCAATATTTCATTCAACTGTTTGTATTTTCACACACTTCATTGAGGCATTCATTCATACCCTCTTCAAGGTCCTCGACCATATCCATAGTTGCTATTTTAAGGGCCTTGTCTTAAGTGTTCAGTTATATTGATTTTTTTTTTAGGGCCTACTGCAATAGGGTTACTGGCTTCTGGTGGAGGCATATTATTTGGCTGTTCATGTTTGTGTTTTTGTACCAAGAGTAGGCACTGGAACCATGTTTGATGTATTTCCTGGTGTCCACAACAGGTCTTGTCTTTGTTGGGTAGGTTTTCTGTTCTCTGGTTGCTCTTCTCTTTCTGGATCCTAGGCAGATGTGGTGACTGTGGGGCCCCTGGTAGACATTGCTTCTGTAGGTTGATGAGTGACAGAAATGAATACAGATGGGCCAGAAGGAAAGGCTGAGAGGGGCTGTGGTAAAGAGCTGGGGGGACAGGGGCCCACACCAAGAGGCAGAGTCCCCAGGGAATGCAGGTGGGTGGGCAGAGGGACTCCTGAAGGCAGGCTGCTACAGGACTAAGAGCAAGTATGGAAAGATCCTTACGGAGGTCAGGAAGGACAGTGAAAATCACCCCCTGAATCCCCGCCTAGTGTGGCCACTGGGGGCCTCCAGTAGAAGGTGTTTCGGCTGACACAAAGGAATGGAGATGGGTTGGAACTGTATCTTGTTCTGAGTCATATTGATGATGGTTCCCAGATATGACTCCGGATAGATGCTATAACATTCCAAGGCTTATAGTTTGTCCTCGTCCTCAGTAGATTTATTACAATGAATAACAACATGCTTGTCCTTCGGTTCTGACAGCTTCTATACCTTGTTTTATTTTTTTTGAGCTCACTGGATAAAGAGTTTGTTTACACCCCTTTCATTTCCCCTTTAACCACTCAAAAGTAGCTTTCTATCTGGGGCTGTTCTTTTTAAACTCATACAAGTGCAATTAAATAATCTTATCCCTTTATGCTCTTGTGGCTTACTCTGAAACACACACACACACACACACACACACACACACACACACACACACACACACACAAACACACACACACCACAGCTGCTTCTTACAATAAACTGTGAAATGACATTCTTTTTCCTTTCTTCTTGAGGAAATGGATCTTTGACTAAGTCTACTGAGAAGACTAGAGAGCTTACCTCGTTTTATATCTAGTACCTAACCTAACCTGATAACCAGTGTTATCAGGACCAGTGTTTTCTGCACTCTCACAGGAGCCTTTCTAATCTCTTTTGAATCCATTGGCTGCTGATTCAACCTTAAGTGTTGACAGCTTACCTCTAAACTGTGCTGTCACAACATCTCCAAATTAAAAAAAAAATAAGTGTGTGTGTGTGTCTGTGTGCATGTGTACACGTGTGCCAGTGTGTGTGGAGGTCAGGACAACAGTATGAGCCACTTCTCTCCTTCCATCTTTACGTGTACTTCAGGGATGGAACTCAGGCTGCCTGGCTTGTGCACCAAGCACCTTTCCACACTGAGCCAGCTCACTGGCCAACAAACATCATCTTAAGTGTATCTGTAATTTCCTTAGACATAAACCTTTGTGGCATAAGGTAAGCAAATATAAAATACATGATGAGCCTTTGAAAACAGATGTGTTTTTATTTATGTGTATGTGTGTTTTTTTGTATGTATACTCCACATATATGTGGATACACAAAGAGGTCAGAAGATCGTATTGGATCCCCTAGAGGTGGAGTTACTACACCCAGTGTGGGTACTGGGAACGAAACTTGGGTCCTCTGGAATAGCAGCAAATGCTCTTAACTGCTGAGCTATTTCTCCAGACCCTATGACAAACTTTTAAAGTTTTAAAAACCATTGGTGTTTGTGGCCAGGCATGGCGGCACATGTCTTTAATCTCAGCACTTGAGAGGCAGAGGCAGAGACAGGTGGATCTGTGTGAGTTTGAGGGTAGCCTGCTCTACATAGTAAGTTCCAGGATAGTCAGGGCTATGTAGAGACCCTGTCTTAAAAGACAAACAAACAAACAAAACCCAATGGGAAAAAAAAAAAAACTCAACAAAACAACAAAAACAAAAAAACTCAATGAACAAATAAAAACATAGTGTTTGATGACAGGATATGCTAATACTATTTTAACATCTAGCTAATAAGATAGTTTTCATGAAAGTAAAACTTCATCACATCTTGCTTGGTATTTTTAGAAACAAAGACCATGTATAATGTTGAGAGACATGAACTGGATGGAGGATCAGAGAAGCAAACAGCAATAACAACTTAATTGAAAATCGGAATCATAGGCCCAAACTCAACTGGGGACAAGACAGCATTTTCATACCCTGGATGACTTATTTAGTGTCTTCATAGGTTTATTAGCTCATGGCGGGAGAACAGGGCAGAGAGCGAGGCCTGCAGAACCCTGGGCAAAGGTGGCAAGATCAGTGTATGAAAGAAATCAGTTGGCGAAGACTAAACACTTCCCTATCCAATTAAATCTGGACAGTGACACAGGAACAGAGCACTCCAAAGTGTCTGCAGGTGCACTTGACTCATGCTCCTGGGGGAGGTTTAAGATGAAGGGTATAAGTCAGAGTCTGTACCATGAGACACAAAGTCTGCACCCACTTCTGCACAGCAGACCCACCCACAGAGACACTGGCTGTCCTCCTGGATGGCAGTGTGTCTTCTTAGCAAACCGTACCACTGCCCAGCTCCTTGTCTAGGGACACGAGAACCCGGAACTCCTCTGGGGACGTCTACTGAGCTCCAGTATCTGTGATAGCAACCTTCCTTACAATCACAACAGAAATTATGCCCCATGCTAGGGCACTGGCACAACCCCTGCCCTGTGATCGCAGACATGCTGTTTAAGCTTTCTAAGCCCTGGCATTCTCTTTCTTTTTTCTGGGGTGGTTGTGGTGGTAATAGTTTCTACCATTAATTACTCTATTGTTAGAAGAACCTACATCATTTGCCCTCTTTGGAATCATGAAATTGGCCTTTTTCTAAGTCCTGGGGGAGAAACTTGGATAATTCAAAGCCATTCACTTTGGTCTCATTAGCATGGGCATCTAATACAATTTTGATTAAATAAACATGAAGAGAGCCTACACAAAACCTTCTGGAAAGTTCTCCCTTCCTCCATCAGAGGTGAAAGCATCCATTCATGTTCAGTGTCTGGACATTGGGAACTGCATGTAAATGTGAAGATTTTGGCAGACATAAGAGATATAAGGAAAGCATTCAGCTGAAGGGGATTAGCATCCCTAAGAAGACAGAGCAGAAAGATGGAAAACTAGAGATGGTGTTGTTAAATTAACCAATCTCATACTGACCTTACTTCTAGCCCTCTTGCTGGATATCAAACACACTTCCCTGATTTTTAGAATGCAGTGTAGACTACTGTGGTGGTTAGCTTTCATTGCCATGACAACTTGACATAATGTAGAATCACCTGGGAAGAGCCTCAGTGAGGAATTGGCAAAATGAAGTTGGCCTGTGGGCATGTCTGTGTGTGTGTGTGCGCAGGCTATCTAGAATATGTTAACTGAGGTATAGGAGTCACACACCGTGGGCAGCGCCATTCCCTAGGTAGAGGATCTTCCTTGTGCAGCAGTTTCCCTCCAAAGTTAAAACCTTCTGTCTTGGAGGGAAACTTCTTTTTTTTTTTTTGGTTTTTCGAGACAGGGTTTCTCTGTGCAGCTTTGCGCCTTTCCTGGGACTCACTTGGTAGTCCAGGCTGGCCTCGAACTCACAAAGATCCGCCTGCCTCTGCCTCCCAAGTGCTGGGATTAAAGGCGTGCGCCACCACCGCCCGGCGAAGGGAAACTTCTTAAGACAGGAAGTGAACAGTAACAAAAATACCGCCCTTCAAAGACAGGAGTACAAACCATAACCCCTGACAATCTTGTTTTGCTAAGTTATCAGGTGTGAGAACAGCTTTTATTTCGTCCCTGGGTGTTCTGACAATGTGTTAAAAGACTCATATTTGGAGTTTCATATCTCATGTGAGCCATATGATTACAGACACCTTTCAAGTTCTGAGTTTGTTATACTTTTTTTTTTTTTTTTTTTTTTTTGGTTTTTCGAGACAGGGTTTCTCTGTGTAGCTGTGCGCCTTTCCTGGATCTCGCTGTGTAGACCAGGTTGGCCTGGAACTCACAGAGATCTGCTGGCTCTGCCTCCCAAGTGCTGGGATTAAAGGCGTGCACCACCACCGCCCAGCACATTTTATTTTTTAAATGAAAACTTTCCAAACCTCTGAGTTGAAGAATGATGACACTTGTCCTGAATCCTCTCTGCCTTTGTCACTTTTCTGTGGAGACTTAATAAAACCGGGTGGCAATGCAGGACCTATAATAGGCCTGAAAATAAAATACACCATTATCATTCTCTCTTGACTTTAAAAAGCTGTTTTTAGAATAAAAGTTCACAATGATAAGAAAGCCAGATAGTAACAAATGTTGAAAATAAGAATTTTTTGTAACATTATTTTTACTAGTATTAATAGTTTTCTACTTCATTTTTAGAAAAGAAAATTTCATTTATTTATGGGCATGTGTGTGCCACAGTATGCATATGGTGGTCAGTGGAACCAGGGATTGAACTCAAGTTCTCAGGCTGCAGGACAAGTGCCTTTACCGGCTGAGTCATCAACCAGACACTAAAGTAAACATTGTCAATCTTTTTGACCCGACTGTACTCACGAGGGTATGTGCCATCTTGCACTTTGACTTCTGCTGTTTTGATTTTGCTATCTACTGAAAATTCCACTGGGCCTCGTAATTACAGTCAGAGCTACTTAAGCAGAAAGTGTGTTCCTCTAAGAACATCTCCAGCAGGTACATACAACAGCTGCCCGCAGACAGTGGTAATGTACCACAGCAGTCAAACCTACACACAGTCCTTGCTAACAATCCAGAAGTGATGCAGAAGAACGCAGCCGGTCCACTGTGGCTCGCAGACGAAGGAGAAGGAACTTACTGTGCCAATCACATTTCACTTGGTGTATGTCTGTGGTTCCTTAAACAATCCTTGTCCATGGAAGCCACTGCACTTTGGGAAAAATTAATAGCTAAGATCAACACAGCCAGCAAGGGGCTGAGTTGGATGGAGTCTGAGCCCTGGACTCTTTTTTTTTTTTTTTTTTTGGTTTTTCGAGACAGGGTTTCTCTGTGTAGCTTTGTGCCTTTCCTGGATCTCCCTCTGTAGACCAGGCTGGCCTTGAACTCACAAAGATCCGCCTGCCTCTGCCTCCCGAGTGCTGGGATTAAAGGCGTGCGCCACCACCGCCCGGCTTTTCCTTTTTTTTTTTTGGTTGAGCCCTGGACTCTTTAATGTCAAATTTCATGAGTTTCAGAGTAGCATTACTACCTATCTCAGGGAACTGTCATCAATACAAGAAAGATTGCCTCAATACTAAGCCTTTTTGTGAGAAGACACAGGAAACTCCTTTCTTCTCATTTCACACTTTCAGATCCTTTATCCAATGCTTTCCTCATGGTTCTCCCTGGCCAGTGCGACCTGCTCAGATGTGACTCCAGCTATCGGCTGATTTCCAGGTGGTACCTGTGCACTCAGAGCCTTCCTGACAGGCTTCTTAGCAGAGGGAAAAAGTACTGAGAGCCAATTGTTCTGACCCCTTCATAATCTTGTCTTGGCTTCATAACCCTCTCTGTGTATAATAGTTTTGTATACGAAAGGGCAAAGTTTCAAATTATCGGAAAGATCCAATTAGCTGTCATTTACAAGCTACAAGGGGAGCCTTTTTTTTCTAAGTATAATTCTTACCAGAGCTACACAGACATTAATTTTATGACTTTAGAATTTGTGGAGATAAAATCTGTGGCATAATCTTAGAAGATAGTAAATACATTGGACAAGGCTCAGTGGGTAAAGGCTCTTGATGCCTGAGTTCAATTCCTGGACTCAGAGAGTGGAGGGAGAGAACCAACTCCCACAAGCTGTCCTGTGACCTCCACATGTGCGGTGGGGTCAAGTGTGCCCCCCCAAATAAATAAAATGTAATAAAAATTTTAAATATAGTAAATATAATATAGCTATGGCATTCTACAGTTGTATCAGAGGCTTTTAACTCCAAAATATGCTACTATTTATTTCACACATAGGTTTTATTGTCCAAAATGCTATTTTCTTTTTTTTAAATTGAAAACAGATTTTTTTCCCATATAATATATTTTGATTATGGTTTCCGCTCCCCCGACTCCTCTCAGATCCTCCCCACCTCCCCACCCAAATCTACACCTTTTCACTCTCTCTCCCATTAGAAAACAAACAGGTATCTAAAAATAAAATAAGATAAAACAAACCAGAATAGGAGATAACAAACAAGCAGAAAAAACAAGCCAAAGAGAAAGCACAAGAAACACATCCAGATACAGAGACACGTTCACACACACGGCAACCTCGTAAAAACCCCACAAGATCAGAAATCATCGTATATGCTCAAACGTCTAGACAAAGCACCAAGATGCAACTTTCAAGAGAGAAACTACCATAGACTAAGTACAAGTTGGGTTCAGCTTATCCAAAATCTTGGACCGTGAGCATTGCAAATTTCAGAATCTGAACTCTTTACATATGCACAATAAGAAACCCTGGGGAAAGGGTCTCAAGTCTAAACGTGCAAATTCATTTGTGTTTCATACACACCCTCTGCAAATAGCCTGAGCAACTGTATATGATACGCTAGGTGATAATCACATGCATAGAACAAGGTTGTGGATACTGACCAGCAGACTTGTGGTGTCATGCTGGCTGCACAAAGGTCTGGGATTTGGAAGCATTTTGGATTGCAGACTTTCAGGTGAGATGGTCCATCTATAATGAGCTCTTCTGGAAGGAATGCGCTATCCCGGGGCCAGTAACTTATCTACAAAAGGCTAGCAGAAGGTCCTAACTTTTAGGCCTTTGGAGCCACATCCGTGCACCTATATCAGTTGCATTCCCCTTTAAAGATGTGGAAAGTATTGTTTGTTTGGGGATTATATAAAATGGCAGCAGATTGTGTAGTCTTGTTATACTTAAAAGAAACAGAGTTACATGGAAATTAGGAATTGGCACATGAGATTCTCAGTTCTGAATATAAAAAGAAACAGCCATCTCCTCTATGTGCTCTTATACACTGGCACGTACGTAATATGCATTATATTATAAATTGTCATGTGCTGTTTGAGCTCCCTGAGAAGGGTCCTGGAGGTGGGCCCCATTTCAGACCCAAGCATGTTTGTCTTATAGTGTCTCCAAAGTCCCTTGTCCAGGGATAGGCTTTTCCCCCACCCTGTGAGACAGGGAAAGGAGAACAGAAAACACCCTCCTCCCCGACTGTGAGTCCAGAAGGAGAGTAAATCGGTTGGGTAGAAACATTGCTCTAGAACACAGCTTCAGCACTTTCCCTAAGCAGAAGACTCTGCTGTTGTTTACCATGCTATACAGTGCCTGGGGTGGGAGCGGCTGACTGGGAGCCTTACCCAGGAGACATTCTGCCCGCCGGTTCCTCTTTGTCCATCAGGGGCTCTAGCTGACGTTTTCCCCAGTGTTTCTCCAGGCATTCCTGCTGGATGTTGTGTGTCTGTCTGCTGATGTTCGACTCTCTATCTGCTGTTTTAGTCTTCTATTTTCACTTGCTACATTCTTAATAAACTTACTCATTCCAAACTAAAAGTATGGCTATCATGAGTCAGTCTCAAATTATAAAGCATTATGAACTTGAAAAAAATTGGCTGACGCATTATACATTATCACCTTGGAGGAGAGTCATCCTGCCTCTTAAATCCAGGAGGAAGGGCTGGTCCAAAAAACCCACCGTCGTCGTCGTCACCTCTGTCTTGATGTCGCCTCTGTTTTCTGGAAACACAGTAGCATAACTTAAGTTAAACATACGCTAAACTTTTACAAAAAGAAAGCTTTAATTGTGAAAGAAAACATTAACTTTACGTAGATAGCTAAACTTGAAACATTAAATCAACCCTGCCAAATTAAAAAAATATGTATTGCAATAGTTCTTAATCTTTTCCTGGAATTTATCTTCAGTTATTTATTTTTCAGGACGAGATCAGTATTCTGTACCTTGTGAAGAATTCAAGATTACACTAAGTGAAAAAAATCTCAGGGTCTTTTCAGCCCTTTTGAGTGAAATGCATAGTTCAGCTTCTATTCTCCTTCTCAAAAGCACTGGAAATTGCCTTTTTCTGTCTCCTAATCTTAAAAGGGCATCAAAATCTTATGAACCTGTAAAAAACAAAGGTTCAGCTTATCTACCTGACCCATGGCTGGTAAAGCTATATTAGAAGGGAATCATGTATTTAAACAGAACGTTCACTGTTTATCAATTTTAAAAAGAAATTCTATGGGCTTACTTACAATATTTAGTTATTTCAATAATATGTTAAGGAAAAACTGTTTCTATATAGTAAACCTTATTGGGCTGAGTATGTAGCTCAGTGGCAGAGAGCTTGCTTAGCCTGCTCAAGGCCATAGGTTTGATTGCCTAGCACCATACACACAAATCTTAGTAATTCATTAATTCATCCATTCACTTTAGGTATCTCCATATCTACACATTACTAGAATAAGCTGATTTTTATTTTTTTGGAGATAGGGTCTCACTATGTAGCCCTGGCTGGCCTTCAACTTACATAGACCACCTGGCTCAGCCTCTGGAGTGCTGGGATTCAAGGTGGGTACCATCACGCCCAACTGGAATAAGTTCCTTTATAGAAGATGTAGAGTGTGTGACATGCCATATGAGAAGACATTTTCCCCGTGCTGCACAAATGCAGACATAGATCAGTTCCAGCCAACTCAGGAGAGGCTTGAGGCTTGCTCCACTGCAGATTTAGTGACTGACCTGGCAGTGGGACCACTGTCATCTTCCTCAGACTCTTGATCTCCTTCTTCAGACAAGGAACTGCTGTCCTCATCGCTGTCTGAGGAGTCCGAACTGCTGCTTCTGTAATTAGGGGGCAGAGCTGGCCCTGCAACTGGACAATGTTGGTTGGATATGTTACAACTCTTTTAATGAGTCCTCCTGGCTGACATTTTCTTTTCATAGCCACAGTTGGCTAGCATTTACTACGGACTTTAATCTTCTGACTATCTACCTACCAACCCATCCACCCATCAGTGACAGAGTAAATACTCCTAAAGAAACAAACATAAAAGGATCAGATCAGTTCAGGTAAAATGTTGCTATTGAAACAGTAAAAACATGTCTGTGTGGAGGGACAATTTGGAAGACAGTGGTCATAGAAGGCCACTCTGACAAGGCATTTGGGTAGATTTAAGTGATGAGACAACAATGGTCATACAGCAATCCAAAAGAACATTCTAGACCAGCAGGTTTTTTTGTTGTTGTTGGTTTCTTTTTGTTTGTTTGTTTGTTTTTGTTTTTTCGAGACAGGGTTTCTCTGTGTAGCTTTGCGCCTTTCTTGGAACTTACTCTGTAGCCCTGGCTGGCCTCAAACTCACAAAGATCCGCCTGCCTCTGCCTCCCGAGTGCTGGGATTAAAGGTGTGCGCCACCACCACCACCGCCCGGCTAGACCAGCAGTTAACCAGTAGGTTGCAACCCCTTTGGGGGGTCACATATCAGATATCCTGTATATCAGACATTTACATCACAATTCCTAACAGTAGCAAAATTATAGTCATGAAGTAGCAATGAAAATAATGTTATGGTTGGGGGTCACCACAACATGAGGAACTGTAGTAAGGGGTCACACAGCATTAGGAAGGTTAAGAACCACTGCTCTAGACAGAGAAAGAGTCAGCAGAAGAGAACAATTTGTGCATTCTCCATGGAGCGAATAAGCTGATGTTCCAGGCTAAAGAGGCCAGTGTGTCTAACACAAAGGCAGGCAAGGCTGCAGGCTGTGGAGTTGGCCTCTTCGGCTTTGAATCTGTACTTTGCCACTTACTAACTATGTGAATTGGTTTTGTTGTTTGTTTTTTGTTTTTTAACTATATGAATTGTGTTAGTTAGCTAAGCTGTCTGCGTTACTTTGTTGCCCTGTAAAATGAGGCTCACAAGGTTTAAACCTGGAGGCCAGGAATCCTCACCAGAAGGAAATACTGAAGAATGCTACACAGATGAACCTTAAGGACATTATGATAAGCTCAACAGAAAGTTACAGAAACCCTACTGTCCGACTCTACTCACAGGAGGTACTTAGAGCTACACATTCATAACACAGAATGGTAATTACTAGAAGCTGTGGGCAGGAAGGGATGGGGAGTTTTGTTCAACAGACTTCAGTTTGCGAGATGAAGAGTTTTGGAGATCAATGGTGGTAGGGGTTACATAAACAGTATGACTATAACTAAAGCCATTTAAAAGTATGCTTAAAAATGCCTAATGTAGTAGATCCGATTAATATTTTATGAGAACATGAAAGAAAAAGCTAGTGTCTTGGTTACAGTTACTGCTGTGATGAAACACCATGACCAAAAGCTTGTGACATGCTGACAAAAAAATACTTCCAGCCAGTACAGCAACACTTGCATATCCATGTTTACTGATGCTCTACTCACAATACAGGGGAAGTGGAGTTAGCCTAAATGTCCATCAACAGATAAATGGATAACAGAAATATGGTATGAAATACACAATGGGATTTTATTCAGCTGAGAATAAAATGAAATAAAGAAAAATGAAATCATGAAAGTTGCAGGAAAATGGAAATAACCAGAAAATATTCTATAGTGAGGTAACCATTTCAGAGAGGCAAATATAGCATGTTCTCTCTGATAGGAGCAGTCTGGTTTATAATGTTCACATGTACGTCTATAAATGGGGTGTGTATGGATATAAGCTATGAAACTAGAAAGGAGACCACAAGGGGGTTAAAAGTGGTGGTGTTGAGAAATGGGGGACACACATGAGACATGAAAAGGGAAAGGTATAGGGTAAAAGGGCCAGCCAAGAAAACCCACCGTGACCCTGAAACCAGAGCCAGTGAAAGAAACAGATATTGGCTCTGGAATCGGAGCCAGTGAAAACACCCTGGCCCTGAAACCAGAGCCAAAGAAACACACTCTGCCCCTGACCAACTGAGCACATAACCAATCAATCCCTGAACACGGAATCTAGCCAAACTGAGCCTGTCCAAGCTGAGGGGATTGAAATCTGACCAATTCCCACCCTGAAAATCTTCTCCCTGGAAAAACTCTGTCCCTAAGAAGCCCTATATAAGCCCTGTGCCCATTCAGTTGGCAGCTGCCCTTCTGCACCTTGCCAGAGGCAACCACTGTCCTGGATTCCTCCTTCCCAAATAAATTTCTTGAAAGAGTCTTGGGTGGAGACCTTCTTTCGCTGGAGCAGAGCAGAATCTCTGCTGGGAAACTCTCTTTGCAGAGCAAAGCAGAGAAGCAACAGAAATTCCCTTAGGGAGTGGAGCAGAGCTCAGTTGTAATGGCTCTCTCTTGGAGGGAAGCAGGATTGCCACATCCTGTGGGGAGACCATTTCCCACCGGAACCCAGCTTCAGGTATAGTCTGACTTCCCAACAAGTCAGGATACCTTTCTCCTCACAGCTGTAGGTATCCAGGTTACTTCCCTTCACAGCTGTAGGTATTGCCTGACTTCTGAAAGTCAGGGTACCTTCCCCTCCAGAGACGTAACACTTGCAAAAGGAAGTTATGGGTGAAGGGTGAAGGATGTAAGAGGTGTGAGGCGGATAGGGAGAAGAATCAACAAAAAACAAATTTTGTTTGAAAAATGCCATAATGAGGCCAGTCAGTAGTTAACAGTGCACACTGCAGAGCCCCAAAGTTTGGTTCTCAGCACCCCTATCAGGAGGCTCACAATCACCTGTAACTCCAGTTTCAAGGGACCCCACAACCTCTAGCCTCCTCAGGCACCTGTATTTACAAGAACACACCCACACACAGACACATGAATATAAATAGTGAAACCTAAGGCTTTGTATGAGACAAATAATTCAATAGAAAATGAGCAAAAGACTATTATAGCATAATGAAAAAAGTGATTAAAAAATAAGAAAAGTGGTTAATTTCATTTCTCACAAGGAAATGGAAATTAAAACATCATAGAATACTGGATCAAAACACTAGATTAAAAAGACAGAAAAAAATGATTAGGGAGAACAGGAAAGAATCAGATCCCATACTTGCTGAGGACTTTGGTAAATTGGTAGGACTCTGAAACTGAGATATAACACAGGATACACACACACACACACACACACACACACACACACACACACTGCATAGTGGCACTGTTTGTAAGAGTTAAAAAGCCAGAATCTACTCAAATGTCTGCTACCAGTAAAATGTGCAAATAAATTGCCAGGAATTTACCCAATATAATTCACTCACACTTCTTTAACCTTAATTAATACTTCTTGATAAAACAAAGAATGAAAGAAAAATGTTTGAGACAGGGTTTCTCTGTGTAGTCCTGGCTGTCCTGGAACTTGCTCTGTAGACCATGCTGGCCTAGAACTCAGATATTCACTTGCCTCTGCCTCCCAAGTGCTGGGTTTAAAGGCATGCACCACCACTACCTGGCAATATAAAAAGTTTTTTAAAAAAATGGCTACACTAGAACTAACATCTGGAAGGAAGACTCTGGCTACCCCCCAGTATGGGTAGCCAGAAAAGGAAAATAAGATTTATAAATAGTTGCAATATTTTTTCAGTTTTGTTCTTTCCCAACTATAGTCATTCCCAGCCTACCAACTGGAATGAACATTAAAGACAGAAAAGCACGAAAGAATGAGAGGCGTTGATGTGTGCAATAGGACGTGCCTATTGCATGGTAAGGATACAAGACATAGTGAAATGGTGGAGACTGACATGTCAACAAGTTATTCGAACAGAGTGTTAAATATTAGTGTGATTGGGTAGAGAAAAACCCCGAGGAAGACGTGACACTTAAGCCGGGATTGGAAGGATGTGTTGGAGTTGTCAGGCATATACGTACAACCAGAGCAGCCAAAGAAGCCTATCGTTGAGGAAGCATAAACTTGGACTGTGTGGGCACTGGGCTGCGTGTGAAAGATGCAATGATAGGATGAGAGGTCAGGGACCAGAGAAGCATAGGATCTTCGGTAAGGGTCTTCTAACTCGGAAGGAATAGAACTACGAGGATCTAATTTGGGCTTCATCCCTGACTAGCTGTGTGACCTAGGCACCGATTCTCCAGTCGCTGTCACCATTTGTAACATATGTACCATGATCTTTTCTTAGACAGTTGATGGAAGAGTTAAATAGACGACCGGACGAAGATTGGTCAGTTAGCACAATGCGGTTCATAGCACAATCTGGCTCATATTAATCGCCAGTTGGGACTGTATCGTCTTTTTAATAATGATCAGGCCCCAAACATCCCTTCGTGCCCAGCTTGCAACTGTGGGCTGACCGCGCCCACTCCGCCGTGCTCGCCAGCCCTTCCCGCGAGTGCAGGAGCCCGCTGCGGTTTACCTGGGCTCAGGTCCCGCTCCTCGTCCTCAGCTGTCGCGTGCTTCTTGAAGCCTGGCGGCAGTGCCGGCCCGATCAGGTCCCTAGCCATTCGCTGCGACACACAGTCGCTCAGCGTCCAAGTTAAACTCTATCCCGACGGCAGACCAAGCTTTGCAGCCAAGGCCGGAAGTTCTTCCGGCTTCGTCTGATGACGTAACGCCCGCGATGGACTCATAGGTCCGACGGCCGTAGCGGAAGTGACGTCTAACGCTAGCGCCACAATTGCACTCTGCGCTCTCCGCTTGCTAGGTGGCATGGCAGAGCCGACTCCCGCCGGGTGGCCTCTAGCCCCCGAGCTGACCTCCGCGCTGGGGACTCCGAGCGAAACTGCCCCGCCGCAGGACAACTGGGTGTACTGGGCCATGCTGCCCCCGCCGCCACCTCCTCTGTCGTCCCCGGCGGCGGTGGCGGTGGCGGCGGCGGCGGCGGCGGCGGCGGCGGCGGCGGCGGCGGCGGAGTCTGAGCCGTGCCAGACGGGACAGCCCCACGTGCAGACCCAGCCTCTCGCTGGAGCGCTTCCCCCGTTCGACGCTCAGATTCTTCCCGCGGCGCAGCCTCCTTTCGATGCCCAGGCTCCTGTGGATGTCCAACCTCAGTTCAGCGGCCAGCCGGCCTGGAATTTCCAAGCCACGACGCCTTGGTACTGGGGGCTGTCTCCTAATGGTTTCCCTACGTATCCCACGTCCTACTACTACTCTTCGGGTAAGCGGCTGTTCCTAGTGCTACCCTTTTGCTTTTTTTTTTTTTTTTTGCCCCTTAGCTTTCCCTTTTCATCTCTCAGCTCTGCCTTGTATTTTTGGAGGCTGGTAATGAGTATTCAAAATGTATTCTGCTAGGAGGTTTCCCGCGCTCTCATCCAAAGTTTATTAATTCAACCTAACTATTTACTGGGGGCTACTTACATAGCAATGAACAAAACATACAAAAATCCTTACCTTTTGGGGGCTTCTTATCTCCATAGTGTAGGAAGATACGATCCAGGAAATAAGACTACGTATTATAAAGTAGTGATTGTATCTGTGCAGTAGAAAGGGATTGGTAGGGGCTGGAGAAATGGCTCGGCGGTGAGGAGAGTCTATTGCACTTACAGTGGAGGACCAGAGTTAGAATCTCAACACTCTTTAGGCGGCTCTCAACTGCCTGTAATTCCAGCTCCAGAGGAGCCGATTACTGTCTCCTGGCCTCCTTGAGGACCTGCACTCACATGCTACCTGAACTTTTTTTTTTAATCTAAGAAAAAAAAAGTGATAAATAAATAATTGTACATTTGCATTCTTAAGTGACTCTCTCTTTTCTTTTTTAGTTGCACAGTCTTATTTTCCACGAACACACGATGCAAAATTCAATGACTTCAGTTTGCCCCCAAACAAAAAACAGAAAAAGAAGGTATTTCTGAGCTGGTGAATGTGGCGCTTTGATCCTTATGTTTATTGCTTCATATCTTGTGTTTTAACTGTCGATGTGTTTCACATCTGTTATAGACATGTGGGATTTTAGTGGATAGGATTTTTAAGGAGCTTAACTGTAAGTAAAAAAGTTGAAGCAAAATAGTTTTGAAAAACAAATGATGGAATTACAGAAAAAGAAAGAACATTAAATCTGTTTGGATATACAAGCATAATTGAGCATTATGCTTACAAATAAATGTAAATATTATTAAACTTCAGTGATGTTTAAAAGATTACGAAGAATGGGACTGATAGCTGGAATTAGGAGAAGACTGAAAATCCAGCTTTTTACTGATTTGGAAGTCCAAATTGTAATGACAAATCTTTTATTTTTCATAATCTTGTTGCTTTTTATCATAGAAGACTCTTCCTTCGATATAAAAGCAGATCCCCTTTTTTTCTCATTAAACTCAGTTAAGCTATAATCTAATGTTTCTAATTTAGGAGGGTTTACATTTTCCCAAGCTGTGCACATAATGTCTTAAAATCAGACAGGATTTATTGTGCTATTAATGTTTGTCCTGATTGTAAGGCTTTTATTTTTTCAATAATGGGTATTTGTTGTTGATGTGAAAGCCTTTTTTGTTTTTTGTTTGTTCAGGTTGTAAGGTCTCCTTTTTTTCAGTAATGGATATTTGTCATTGGAATGAAAGCCTTTTTTCTTATTTTACATTTATTTTTGTTGGGGGTGGGTGCATACGTGTGGAGGTATGAGAACAACTTGCAGGCGTCAGGTCTCTCCTACCATGTGGGTTCTGGGGGTTGAACTCAGGTCCTAAGGCTTAGCAGCGGTGCTTTTACCTGCTGACGCATCTCTCCGGCCTGGAAGCCATTTTTTTTCAAATGAGGAAGAATGCCTGGTTATATGTCACAAACCAAATACTATATTGAGATAGGTTTTCTTTTTCATGGTCTGAACCTAACTTACAGATCAGGTTTCTTCTTTGTATAAGTTGTACAATTTAGGGTAGGTTGAGTACTGTCTAGAACAGTGGTTTTCAACCTTCCTGATGCTGTGACCCTTTAATACAGTTCCTCATGTTGTGGTGACCCCCAACCATGAAATTATTTCATTGCTACTTTATAACTATAATTTTGCTGCTGTTATCAATTGTAATGTAAATATTTGATATGCGGACACACACACCCCCACACACACAAGGGAGCCATGACCCACAGGTTGAGAACTGCTGGTGTAGAACTTGAAATATCCTTTTATTGTGAGAACTGTGTAACTTGTGTTATTAGTATTACACAGGTACAGTATAATCTATTAACAGTCCATTTAATGTTACAGTAACATAACATTTAAAAATTGGAGATTATTTCCAGTATCAGTGATTCTAGTATAGTAACGTCCCTTGTGAGGCACTTTTTCTTTCTTTCTTTCTTTCTTTTTTTTTTTTTTTTTGGTTTTTCGAGACAGGGTTTCTCTGTGTAGCTTTGCGCCTCTCCTGGAACTCACTTGGTAGCCCAGGCTGGCCTCGAACTCACAGAGATCCGCCTGGCTCTGCCTCCCGAGTGCTGGGATTAAAGGCGTGCGCCACCACCGCCCGGCTCTTTTTTTTTTTTAACCTTAAATCAGTACTTTTAGATCTTGACAGATGCTATACCAAATCTTCATTGGGTCTCTAACTTGAAATCTTATAGTTTGAATTAGCTCTTTTTAGATTTAAATTTTGTTTATTGTGTCTGACTTTTGCTATATTGCTAAAAAATAAAAGAAGCCTCCACCCCAGGGGTATGTTTTAAAACAAATCAAATATGTATTCCTGGAACAGTTGTGTTTGGTTGAGCAGAGGTTTTCTACCACAGTCTTACTGCTTTTTGTTTGTTTGTTTGCAGAAAAGAAAGGAACCAGTTTTCCACTTTTTCTGTGATACCTGTGATCGTGGCTTTAAAAATCAAGAAAAATACGACATACACATGTCCGAACATATAAAAGTAGGTTTTCCTGGTTGTTCCGAACTGATGTAGAAATGGCCCTTGATTTGTGTTTTTGGTACAAGGACCAAGCTTCGTAGTTTTTCCAGAAGGCAAGGTTAGGTGACTTGACACATGGGGACAGTGCCTGGGATTTGGAGTTTGGGGCTTGGGGGTTGGGAGCCCACTACTTGGTGAGAGGAGGAGCTGTGGAGACCTCTGTGTAGGTGCCCCTCCATGGCTCCGAGAGAGGAGAGAGCTGGGCCTCCCCTGAAGTGGCCCTGAGCACCTCGGAACGCTTTCCCTCTATTGCTGTCTTGACCTGCAGCTCACTGTGTGGTGTGTTGTAGTGTGCTGTTCTCTAAATGTTGGAATGGTGGAAAGGTTTTTTTGTTTTGCTTTTTAAGACAATTCTTGTTTTGGAAACATTCATTTGTAGGAATGCCTCACCTTTAGGCATTAGGAATGGTTTAGTTTCCCTCAGATGGAGGAGGAAATGAGATGAGTAGCTGTGCTGCTCACATCGAGGATGCCATTCCTTTGTTTTGCTGCTGAACTAAGAATGAAGGAGGGAGGTAGCACAGGTGGAGAAATTGCTGGTTGACCGTAGTCTGTAGCCCCTGGTGGTGTGAACCGGTAACTTGTGGCCATTGTTAAATGTCTTTTTGTTGTTAAACTTTTCAGTGCCCTGAGGTAGATTGCTCCTTTAGTGCACATGAGAAGATTGTCCAATTCCATTGGAAAAATGTAAGTTCTTATGGCTTTTTTCACCTTTTTAAATGCGTTCTCTATGTGTGCTAATAGTAAGTAATGTTCATGCAGTGTTTTGTATTTTGTAAGGAAGTTTTGCATCTCTTACTCTATTTTAGTCTCAAACCATGCAAAATAGATAGATATTAGCTCCTCTTACAGATTGAGAAGAATGACTTGCCTACCCAGAACTGATTCTTGGACTTGCAAGTTGTATGCTAGTTTGACCATGCCATGCTTCTTAAAATGACCGTGGCTGGGTGCTGACAAGATGGCTTAGCAGTTAAGAGCTTATAGTGCCCCTCCAGAGGACTCCAGTTCAGTTCCCAGCACACACACACACACATACACAATGGACAGCATGCAACTACCTGTAACTCCTGCTTCAGGGATCTGGTGTCCTGGTGTCCGAGGGCACTTACACACACACACACACACACACACACACACAAACATGCACACGCGCATGCACATGCGCTAAAATAAACAAAAGACTTGTGAAAAATGATCATGTCTGCTAATTTTTTTATCTGTCACCTTCAGTTTTGCTTGGTGGGTATTTAATGTCAATTGAGAAAATGGGTTATGCATCTATGTAATAAAAATTACACTGCTTTCCTCCCTATCTCTAGCATTGATCCAGCTACATGAGAAGTGGTTGCTTTTCCTTTAAAGGATAAGGCATAGTGAGAGTGCTCGTTAGCTTAAAATATGTTCTGCTTGTAAGTGTAATGTTGGGTGCAATGCTGCATTTAGTTATGAGCACACAGTATGCTTCCTGATGTTCAGCAGGCTTTCTGTCCTTAGATGCATGCTCCTGGTATGAGGAAGATCAAGCTAGACACTCCAGAAGAGATTGCAAGATGGAGGGAAGAAAGAAGAAAGTGAGTAAAGAGTTAACTAATGCATAACTTTCTTTTTTTTTTTTTAAGAATTTTTTTAAGGTTTATTTATTTATTATGTATACAGCATGTATGACTGCAGGCCAGAAGAGGGCACCAGATCTCATTGCAGATGGTTGCTGGGAA